TCGCCCACTGCCTCATCGCCTTTGATAATGTCCACCGCAGTTGTGGACGAAATGTCAGGAAGAAATTCCCATAGACCACGGCTTCAAAGCCCGGAAAAAATTCCTAAATGTGATTTAACCGGCCGTGAAAGCCTTCATAGTCTGATAAAAGAAGAGAGTCTTTCATCCAAATATTACCCTGATAGATGTTCTTCATTAAGGGAGCCACACATCTATTATAGAGCTCTTCCTCTGGGGATTCAGCCCCCAGAACATAGTTAAAAGTAAACGACTTTTCGCAATTCTTTATTACGATCTGCTCATTTATCGATATGGTGTCGACGATTTCTTTGCATCCCTTTTCAATTTCATGTCGCACCAATGGACGGACTTTAACAGCGACTTGCACGGAAGTTGAAGACATACCGGTTGTTTAGACTGGAAAAATAACGAAATATTTCATTATTCTATCGAAAATTTATCCAAATGCTTGAATGAATAGCAGTTTCAAATATGGTTGAAATTTTAAATATAATCTGATATTTTCCATGTGTTTGTTAAGTACTGCGGAATTCAGGTGTTAGACTTTCTCTAGATACGAACCTAAAGCTACGAGCGTTTTTTTTGCAATTTTGCATTCTCATGTTCCGTTTGAAGGTCGAAGTTTTATATTAATAAAAATCCCTACTTTAGTCCTCTTGAGAAAAGAAAAATGTCTAATGGCTCTTGTAACAGGTTCAAAGTAAACTCTAACTGGATCAGTAGATCAATACTTTACTTTGACTAGCTTGGTCTATATATTAAAGTCTTTGGTTGCAATCATCTCTACCTATTTTATTTTTACATCATGTGAAAATCTATCAACATTTGTATTATTAATTTGAAATTTCCTAAAACTGAACCTGAACTGTGTGGCCTGCTTCAGGTTTAGCTAAATCCGGCCTCTCGGGCGCTTCCAAAATCTGCACAAATCAGTTTGATCAGAAAAAACGACAATTAAGGAATGTAAACAAAAAAACAAGTAGGTACATCAGCCCAACTTACTCAAACTGACTAAATGGATCCAACCTTCTCTAATCGTCTTCTATTTTGATCCTAGRTGTGTTGTTAATAGCCGGCACAATTAAATGGCGAAAGTATTTCTCTCACTGCTTTAAAAAACACACACAAACGTTAAAATAAAGGTGACTTTCCTYGCAGTCCTGTCGGTTAAACATGAGGATAAATTTAAGCCAACTGGCGCAAAACCGTTAACAAAAATGGGTTATGTTTCTATTGCCAACCGATTAATTTGAAACTGGACGATCCTGCTAATCCAGTGCATGAAACCTGAACCTCCGTAGCAATTCCACAGAAACCTACTTCTCTTATGACATTCGGCGACTGATAAAACCCCCAGATTATTTGAAAGTAGGAAAATAGCCAATCTTCGATTAGCCACATTGCAATACCCTCCTGTCAGCCTTGACTTCAATTCTGATCATTAGATTGAATTCCATTTGCGCGGTTTGTGTTTTGTCATTCTAATATTAAATTCGTTGTGTGGAGTCGCATCCAGAGCCTTAAATTTGAAACGATGGCCCAAAAGCTGCAAGAAATCAAGGTCCAACTGAGCAAAGCCTTGAGGGACCCGAGCAAGCCCTGGACCGGGCTGTTGGACCGAGCCGAAAAAAGTGGCGTAGACAGGCTGTACATATTCATAGGTGAGTCAAATTTGATCTAATTGAGCTCCAAAACAGGTTTTTTTTACCTACGTGTTGATAACCGCATGGTTGAAATGGATATAGCAGGTTTGCCTTCTTGCAGCGTGCATAGTGTTATCAGTTTTCGCCTTAACTTGATGGAATAATAGCATTGGATCACATTAGTTGTCTGTGTTGGTTTGCATTCAGCAGTTTTATTCAGTTGTTCATTGTGGAAAGTTAGGGATATGGAACATATTGTGCGCGAAGTAAAGCAGCTGTTTCTGGACGAAAATGTTTTCAGAAGATACATCAAAGGTGATGGGGCAAGCTAGTCACATTCAGCAGTTTCTACACACTTTAAGCGTTGGCCACATATAGCGCTCCCATTACTCAAATCCTTTACCCCAACAGCAATAGATTAGTGTTTCCTAAAGCCAGTCCTCTCTTCTGTGCAATTCTCCTGGACTGCGTGCATTTTACCATATGGCAAAATGATTGGTGCCCTCCACATCTTTAGCACACATAATTACCGGTAGTAAACATTTCTAAACATGCACAGTAATCAGTAAATTGAAATCTGGGGCACTTGTGTGCCAGGTTTTCAGGTCAATTTCACAGCGAACTGATTACGTAAACTTTTTTTGCAAAATTTCCATTAAGTTCTTGAAATGCTGTTTCGATTTGATCAGTTTTCATTGCGTTTTAGGACTGGCTGAGTTTGGGTAACTTCTAATGCTTCAAAAAACACAAACGTTTGATTTAAAACCTTTAGGTTTTGGGCGTTAAAAGATCGTAAAGTTACATCGGGTAAAGAATAGTTGAAAACCATCGTTAATTCGTCAGGTGGTTGATTGAGTTAGAAAAAGTTCTACTTTTGCTGCAAGTCACTGGCAACCTTTGGGTTCAAGCTTGAAGT